AGATATGTTAAACTTCAAGGACGTCGGTTCAGCAGTTTTTGAGAAATCCTTGGTACCAGTTTTCAAAACATGGTTTTGAAAAAAATGTGTCTAAAGTTTTAAGTAAGGTTTAAAGTGAATGAACGACCAAATTGTTTATTTTAAACGGAATCATCGATTCCTAGTCCATAAAGTAAACTCTCAATACCTAGAAACTCAGCAGTCGCTTTATTTAGTTTTTGCTCTAGTCGAGTCGTTTTTATAGAGACACACGCACGTGCAATGCACTAGCTGCCGCAGGAAAACGTACGAACGCGCGCGCTACGCGCTTATAAAACGGCTGTATCTCAGTTATTTCCATATATTTTTAACTGAAACTTTAAGGAAATATTCTAGAAACATCGAAGATTCAAAAAATGTAAAAATTGAAAAATCGATTTTTTGACTCCCCAGAGTATATGTATGTAGTCCTTTAAATAGAATACATAATGTACATAAACTTTTATTTATATTTGCTATGTTTTAGTAAATACAGCGCTTTATACGGATATATAAAAAATGTTAAAATTTTTTATGGTTTTGAGAAATACATATTTTCGAAGAAAATGTTTCATACAAAAATTGTAACAAAGATTTTTAGGTGACGCATTACATAGTAAAATTAATATGACCTTGAATAGAGCGTTGTCAAAGTTACGCGAAGGTTACCTCGAAATTTTAAAATTTTAAATCTTTATGTGATCTTGAAAATGTTATTTAAGGTCCTATTACTTTGATTATGTAATATGTTATTTAAAATCCTATAATTTTTGTATGAAACATTTTTCCGAAATATTAAAAGATTTCATCATTTCCTACACATCCGTATAAAGCGTTATTTTTACTAAATTACAGAAAATATAAAAAACCTTATATATATTATATATTCTACTCAAGTTCCTCTTTCTCCTTCTGATTAGTTGACCTTACAATTGATTGATTGAATTGATCGATACACCTTATATTCATTATCGTTGAAACTCTTTTCCCGTTATCGGTACTAATGGAAAAAAATTAACATCGTTGTTAAGTTGTTACTGACTCACTCAACTGACAAGCTACGCTCACTCGTTTTAAGATAAAAATTCACTTGAAAATTACTAATAACAATATAATTGTCACTGCTGTCATTGTTCGAGAAGTATTGAATATTATAATTTCCATTATTTTCTCACAAATTTTTGAAAATTTTTTTCTTCTTTCTAATTCACTGCTATTCTTCCTATATAAATGTGTTCTACATGCGTAAAGTAACAAAAAATTAATGATTATATATTTTCATTATTGTTATATTAAAAATAAAATTGTGCTACCGTTATCGTCATTAATGAAAACTTCTCAACGACGTTAATAAGTCGCTACTAAACAATAAAACTAACTTATACTTTAAAAATAGCTTATTTTAAAATAACAAGAAATAAAATAACGCGTTATTACATCATTCAAAAAGAACGCAATGTCACAGTTTCCGTTACTTTTCTCTCAAAGCTCCGAAGTTCCTTTTATTCCAATTCCCTGTCATCTATCCAACATTCATTTGCAACATTCATATGCAAAATAAATCTTATGTTATCACTATGTCAAAAATATAATCGCTTTCCCGTTGTTCTAACTAAAAGAAAATCAACACCATTACCGATTCATCAAATAGAATAAAAAATGACTGAAATAAAAATAACCCGTGACACGGTAATGGCGTTATTACGAATTAAAAAAAAATATATATATATATTAAAAATATATATACAGGGTGTCTGAGAAATTTTGGACCAACCAGTTTGTATAGATAGGACAGGTGAACAATAAAGTCATATAAAATTTTCCAAGAATAATAGTTATTGAGTTATTAATTAAAACGTTTGAGCCAATGAGCACACGGGAAACGGTAAGCCGCACTTGACAGAAATATACATATAGAAGGATATATGCAGATCGCAAGATATGATGATCATCTTTTGTTTATGATCATTGTTTACAACAATGATCCGACGAACACGTCTTCAGTCACATGAAATTGTTCGATACGCGTCGTGCTTTTCCGCGACAAAAAATAAAATTTACTCCAGAGGAGTATATTGATATAATTATTACCTACGGATTAGCGGGCGAAAATGTGCGTGCCGCAACTCGCATCTATGAGGAATGATTTCTTAGGCGTGCGAGACATTTGTCGAGAAAAGTGATTTTATGTGCAGGGAAAAAATTGCGTGAGACCGGATGTTTAGTGCATAATTATAGAGCACAACTGGTACGTTATTGGAATTTGCCGTTGAAGACGAAGAAAGGATTTTATATATTGATCCTCCCCCTCATGCAATCAGCTGATTGTCTTTGCTACGAGTATTCAGAAGTAAAGGGTCGTCTACAATGGCAGTAAGCAGTAAGAAGTAAGCGTAAGCGGTAAAAAATAAACCAATCACAGTCAATTATGACAAAAATAATCAACTATGGTTAGTCCATTTCTTACTATTTACGCTTACTTCTTACTGCTTACTGCCATTGTAGACGACTCTTAAGTTATTTGTCTTGTCTATTATCTTCATACTTCTGTCGAACTCGGTCTATAATTTCCCGTGCGTTCATTGGCCCAGACAATTAATAACTTAATAACTGTTACGATTTTTGGAAAATTGTATGACTTTATCGTTCAATTTCACCTGTTCTACCCGTACAAATTGATTGGTCTATGATTTCTTAGACACTCTGTATATACCGGGTGTTTCAGACCACCTGGGTCACCCGATTTTTTCGTTAATGCGACATTTTAGAAAAAAATATTTCAGACAAAAGTTGTAGGGCTTCAAAAGATCTTTACTGACGCTATGAATTTGACTTTGGGATAACCTTAAAAAGTCCAGTCAGGATCAACATAAAAATCTTAAATGGATACCCCAATTTTTTATTACATCATTTTTTTCTAGCAAATAATTTGAACAACTTTTGTCTGAAATATTTTTTTATTTATCTAATATTTTTTTAGATATTTAAGGAAAACTTGATAACTTTTTCAATATTTAACTTATTAGGTGCGCAACTAAGTTCCCGCTGTTTTTCAAGAGATGGCTCCAGTAGTAAGTGCTGGTCGATTGTGACATAACCAAAACGTCATGAACCAAGCTTAGACATATGGTAAACAAACCGCTTTGACACATTAGTAATTTTGTTTTTGCGTCATATACTTTTGGTTGTGTGAAAATGTCTTATTTTGTGCCAAATAATCGTCATTTGCGGGAAGTGTTGCTTTTCTTCTTTCATTCGAAGAAAATGGCGGCTGAAGCGCATCGAGAACTCCAAAAAGTTTACGGAGATGCTGCTCTAAGTGAAACAACGTGCCGTGATTGGTTCCGTCGCTTCAAAGACGGTGATTTCGATGTTGACGACCGTTCGCGTGAAGGAAGGCCAAAAACCTTCGAAGACGCTGAATTGGAGGCATTGCTCGATGAGGATCCGTGCCAAACGCAAAAAGAGCTTGCTTCAGCATTAGGAGTTACCCGCCAAGCCATTTCCAAGCGATTGCATGCGTTGGGAATGATTCAAAAACAAGGAACTTGGGTTCCTTATGATTTGAAGCCAAGAGACGTTGAGCGTCGTTTTTTCGCCTGTGAACAACTGCTCCAGCGGCAAAAAAGGAAGGGTTTTCTTCATCGTATCGTTACGGGTGATGAAAAATGGATTCATTACAGCAACCCAAAGAGAACAAAATCATGGGGACTGCCCGGTCATGCTTCTACGTCGTCGGCTCGGCCGAATATTCACACTGCGAAGGTTTTGCTGTGTATTTGGTGGGACCAGGGCGGTGTTATTTATTATGAGCTGTTGAAACCGAACGAAACCATCACTGAGGAACGGTATCGAACTCAATTGATGCGATTGAGCCGAGCACTGCGCGAAAAGCGGCCACAATACGAGCAGAGGCACGAAAAAGTGATTCTACAGCATGACAACGCTCGGCCTCACGTTGCCAAACCCGTTAAAACCTACTTAGAAACGCTCAAATGGGAAGTCCTACCCCACCCGCCATATTCCCCAGATATTGCGCCGTCCGATTATTATTTGTTCCGTTCAATGGCACATGGTCTGGCTAATCAGCAGTTCCGCTCATATGAAGACATCTCAAAATGGCTTGATTCGTGGATAGCCTCAAAAGACAAACACTTCTACCGTGACAGTATTCGAGCTCTGCCAGAAAGATGGGAAAAAGTTGTCGCTAGCAATGGGCAATATTTTGAATGATTCATTTGTAACCATTTTTTCACAATAAAGTTGCATTTTCATCAAAAAAACAGCGAGAACTTAGTTGCGCACCTAATACGATATCTCGCTAACTATTTTTCTCGCTAACTATTTGTCAGAAGAAAAAATGGTACTAGACTTTTTTACTCTACTTAGTCTTAAGAATATATTGTTCCAATAGTGCCCTGAATTTAGTTAATTTGATAATTTTGAAATTTCCAAAAATCAACAAGTTAACAAAAGTCAAGGCGCTATTGTAAAAATATATTCTTGAGACTAAATAGAGCAAAAAAGTCTAGTACCACTTTTTCTTACGACAACTAGTTAGCAAGATATCGTAAGTTAAATATTGAAAAAGTTATCAAGTTTTTCTTCAATATGTAGAAAAATATTAGGCAAATGAAAAAATATTTTAGACAAAAGTTGTTCAAACTAATTGGTAGAAAAAGACAGTTTAATAAAAAATCGCAGTTTCCATTTCAAATTTTTATATTGATCTTGACTGGATTTTTCAAGGTTATTGCAAGGTCAAATTCATAGCGTCAGTAAATAGATCCTTTGAAGCTCTACAACTTTTGTCTGAAATATTTTTCTCCAAAATTTCGCGTTAATGAAAAAATCGGGTGTCCGGATGGTCTGAAACACCCGGTATAAATGATAATATTATAAATTAATATGTTCTCGTATTAGTTCCCAATCTTAATCATCTTTTTCATCTTTTAATCACGGCATATTTATTTTGCATTCAGCTTTTACCGGATTCGAGACGAAAAACCGATATGCTGTTACGGACATGACGGGCAAGCCGGTGTTCTACGTGGCCGAGGAGTCAGGCATCTGTTCGCGATTATGCCTGGGCTCGGCACGTCCCTGCGAGTTCTCCGTCCTTGACCAGAACAGGCGAGAAGTCTTCCGTATGATTCGACCCTTCAGATGTGACAGTTGCTGCTGTCCATGTTACTTGCAGGTAGTTGTCGTCAGGTTTACTATTGTTGTTATGGGATGTCTTTATAGAAACTGCGGTTACTATTTGGTTTCTGTTTCTTTCTCTTTTTCTTTCTGACCGCTGCCTCTTATTCTTTAACGAGTTTAAAAAATTACAAATTTTCCTTGAATTCCTCCGATTCAATTATTTTCTTCTCAACGAAAATTCTTTTTCTACTTCCAAGAATTCTCTGTCCGGCAGAAAAAAGGCGGAAACTTTTCAAAAGCGACGTTGGACATTTTATATTAGGTGTGTGAATTAATTCGGTTCATCTGGCGGTCAATTGCTGTACTATGTAATTTTCTAACCTCTAATGTCTGCAAAAGGCTTTATTTTTTAGTTTTGATATCTGGCAATAATATTCAGTTGATAAACGTTTGGGTTTGTAACAATAACATCGTGTTTATCTGATTCGAAAATGTCGAAATTCGAGCCAAAAAGCATCATTTTCGGGAAGTTCTCATTCTCTTTTTTCATTTGAAGAAAACAGCTGCTGAAGCTCATCGAATGCTCGTAAAAACGTATGGTGAAAGTGCTCCCACCGATAAATCATGCAGAGAATGGTTTCGACGTTTCAAAAGTGATTTCTGTGTCGATGACAAACCTCGTCCAGATCAGCTGAAGAAGTTCGAGGACGAGGAATTAAAGACGCTAATCAATGAAGATCCGTGTCAATCGCAACATGAGCTCGTGCAATTGTTGAATGTTGATCGATCAATAATTTCTGTGCGTTTGACAACCATGGGAAAGATTTACAAACAAGGAAGATGGGTGCCATACGAAAGAACTGAAAGAAAGAGACATCAAGTGGCGAAAAGCCATGTCTGAAATCTTGCTTGCCAGGCAAAAAAGAAAAGGTTTTTTGCATCGTATTGTGACTGGAGACGAAAAGTGGATATATTTCGATAATCCCAAACGAAGGAAATCCATTGGCGACCCAGAACAACCATCCACATCGATACCAAAGCGGAATATATTCACGGCAAGAAAGTAATGCTCTGTATATGGTGAGGCCAGAAGGGTGTAGTGTATTATAAACTATTAAAACAGAGCCAAATCATTATTGCCGAACTTTACTAATAACAATTGATCCGTTTAAACAACGTATTGAAGAATAAGTGGCCGGAATATGCAAAGAGATAAAGTGATCTTCCAGCACGATAACGCTCGGCCATATGTTGGAAAGATTGTGAAGGCTACCTTGGAAGCACTTGGCTAGGACGTTTTACCTCATCCGCCGTATTCACCAGACATTGCTCCATCCGATTATCACTTGTTCAGATCGATGGCACACGGGCTTTCGGACCAGCACTTCAACAATTATGAAGAAATAGAGAAATGGCTCAATGAATGGATCGCTTTGAAGGACGAGTCGTTTTTCCGTCACGGAATGCAACAACTGCCAGACAGATGGGAAAAAAATAGCAAGCGATGGCAAATACTTTGAGTAGTATATTTTTTCATGTTTTTTCATACTAACTAAAGTCTTTTTTTGCGAGAAGAAAACGGACCGAATTAATTCACACACCTAATATAGCTGAATAGCGGATTTGAAAAGTAAATGACATGCAGTTGAGCACAGCTGTTTTACTTTTTGACCAACAAGATATTTTTTAAATTGGAATAACAAATAAAATCCTTCAAGGCGTAATGTGCGGAAAAAAAATATGATATTGAAAGAGTTATGTGACACACATATTATGTACGGCGAAACGTTGAATGCGAAATTTTATGGGATAAGAACCGTGGAGTCTGTCTGACGCACGCTTTGCTAACGTTTCTTTATACGTGCGCACCATCTGTTAGTTTCATCTTTAACAAAAATTCACCGACAATATGAAGAATCGATGAAAAATTTTCGGAGAAAAATTACATCGATTCTCTATTATACGAGGTGTGGCTATAAAATAACGAGACTGATGCTTCCACAGAAGAAGTACACATGCGCCAAACGCGAACGACCGACAGTTGTATAGCGTGAAGCCTTCTCTTTCGAATGCGGCGCCTCCCGTGTCTGTAAACAAATTAGTCTGGCCGTGGCCTTCGTTTGTATAAGAGCTGTTGTTTTGTTTTGCCGAAAAAATTATAAGTGTAAAAACAGAGCAACGAATCGTCGTGAAATTTCACATAAAACTTATTTTTTATTAAAAGAAGTATATGACAATGAATGTTTATCACGTGCGCGAGTTTTCTAGTGGTTTAAGCGTTTCCAAGATAGCCGAGAAGACGTTGAAGATGATTCACGCCCGGGTCGCCCTTCCACGTCAAAAACGGATGAAAATATTGAAAAAGTCGGTAATCTGATTCGATCTGACCGTCGGTTAACTATTTGTGCAATTGCTGAAACTGTAGGAATTGACAAAGAATGCGTAAGGTAAATTTTACATAAAGAACAAGTCATGGGTTCTCCATTAAGATAACGAGCCGGCTTATTCTGCATTGTCTGTCAAGACACTTTTAGCCAAATACAACATCCCAGTGTTAGACCATCCGCCTTATTCGCCAGACCTTGCACCATGCGACTTTTATCTGTTTCCCACGGTCAAATCAGCATTAAAAGGAACAAGATTTCAGTCCGTTGAAGCTGTGAAAGAAAAAGCGGCACGCGTCATGAAGGAGCTCACAGAAGAAGACTTTCAGCACTGTTTCGAACAATGGAAAATTCGTAAGGGATAGAGGAGGGGTGTATATTGAAGGTGATAATAACTAAAAATGTATAAATTCAAAATAAAATATTTTGCAGCAATAGTCTCGTTATTTTATAGCCACACCAAGTATGTAAATATGAAACCGGAATTTTTGTATAGAAAATACACGTTTATTGTATGAAAATGATAAAAAATATTTTATTCGAAGTATTGCCCATCACTAGCTATTTTTCCCACCTGTCTGACAATTTGTGAATGCCACGCCAAAAAAACTGTTGCTCTTTTGAGGCAAACCAGTCATCGAGCCCGTACATTTTCGTAAGAAGTGAAGCGCTGTTCAGCAGGTGCATGTCCTATCGATGCAAATAAGTAGTAATCGGACGGAGCCAAGTCTGGTGAGTAAGCGGCATGCGAAAGTATTTCCCAACTAAACGCCTCAATCGTTTCCTTGATCAGTTTTGCTGTGTGTGATGGTGCATTATTATGAAGCAAAATCACATTGCCTTTTTTGATATTCTGGTCGTTTTCACGCAAAGCTTGATTCAAATCGATCATTTGTTGTCGGTAGTCGGTAGTGTTGTCGGTTCAGTATGAACAGTTTTGCCAGGTTTTAGCAACTCATAATAAATCACACCCTTCATAATAGATCCCACCAAACATAGAGCATTGTCTTCCGTCCATAGCGATTTGGCCTTGCAGTCGATGTCGATGGTTCGCCTGGAGTTACCCATGATCTTTTACACTTAGGATTCTCAAAATATATCCACTTTTCATCGCCAGTCACAATTCGAATGGAGAAATGACTTTCTTTTGTACCTGGCGAGCAGCATTTCGCAAGTGGTTTTTCGGTTTTCCTGCTGTCTTTCATTCAGTTCATGTGGAACCCATTTTCCCATCTTCTGGATTTTTCCCATGGCTTTCAAACGTATGGAGACGGCTTCTCGTGTCACATTTAATTAATCCGCGAGTTGTTGTTACGTTTGAGCGTCATCCTCATCCAACAATGCTTGCAATTCGTTGTCTTCAAACTTTTTCGGCGGTCTTCCACGTTCTTCGTTTCTCACGTAAAAATCGCCACGTTTGAATTTTTTAAACCACTCAAAGCACTGTGATTTACCAAGAGCATGCTCACCGTAAGCTTCGACAAGCATTCGATGCGATTCTGCAGCAGTTTTCTTCAAATGATAACAGAAAATCAATGCTGTCCGCAAATCGTAGCTTCCAGGCACAAAATCCGACATGTTCAACGCTATTACAAACTATGCTGTTGTATGAAACTTGTATTGTTGTGAGTTGAAAATCTTTGTCAGATGTCAACAAATGGAAATGGCGCCAATGACGCTGTTTGACGGTAACTACATTGACATCTAGGGCCATCTATGTGGCAAATTCCGGTTTTATATTTACAGACCTGGTATATGCAATATGAAATAAACCATGAAAGAAGGAGGGCGTACTAGGTGGCGACGGGACGCCGTGCGTTCGAGATCTTATTTTCGTTCCGAAGAGAGAAAAATATCGAGAGCGCGGTAGTCGCTATAGACCAGGAATCGAACCCGAGTCTTTCGCTTGCCGGGCGACTGCTCTAAATCACTGAGCTATCTGACGTTCCATGCTCACGACATTCTCCCCTCCCTAGATAACGTTAAGAGATATCGTTCGGAAGCGACATTTCTAGTGCTATCCCGAGCACACGGCGACTACAGAGAGAGGCATTGTTACTTGTACCTAGTACAAGCTGGTGGTCTCTCAAAGTCAAAGGTTGCTATCCTTTAAGACAAATACAATATATACGTACAATATACAAATTTATATAAATAATATACGGGGTGTTTTAGAAAAAGGATCCCAGATTTATAGAACAGATAGTACTTGTACTAAATAAGAAGTTCTTAATAAATATAGATAAAAAAATCTGGAAGAATATGTGTTGATTTCTCGACTTGTACTTAAACATATTTTATCTAATATAATGAATACTAACTATCTGTATCTATCTACTCTGTAAATCTGGAATTCTTTTTCCTCAACTACGTATAACAATCGATCTTTTTCTCAGGGAAATAATTGTTAAGCATCCATCGACGCAACTTCGTTTTTCTCTTTCTCTTTTTCTCTCCCCCTTCCTTTAATTTCTAACTCTATGCGCTTATTTTGTAACTTTTAATAACAATATCTTTATCGTTAAGCATTTTAGCGCAACTATTATATGATGTTTATTAAAAAGTTTTATCATCAAATGATTCTTAAGGCGCTAGCTATTCACCGCAGCCATTATGATTTATGGCGTCAGGAGTAAGAAAATGTACACTCAAAATTCCAGGGAAATAAAGTTCAAATAAGACAATATATTGTCTATTTCTCAAACTGAAATTCTCTAACAACCTATTTTTCAACCATCACCTAAAAAATGTCCCGGAAATCAGGGTTGGAAAGTAACTCGTTACTTGTAACGAAATTACAGTTACAGTCACTTTTTTTTAGTAACTATAACTATAACTTAACTTTGTTCCATTTTTCCATCTGTAACTATAACTTAACTTAGTTACATTTATTTGGTAACTAATAATTAATTTAATAGTTACTTTAATAGTTACTTTATATATTTCAAACCTAAGTCTCTGGTAGTACCACAGATGCTTATAGCATAGACATCTGTGGGTAGCATGATAATGCTACGTGCGATGCTCGATATCCAACAAGCATTAGTTATTCTAACTGCGTTCGGAAAGTGTGCTATTGCGTCATCTTTATCATTCATTAGATGTAAAACAAGGATAAAATGACGCAGTAGCGCTGATAGTCTCCTCTTCGAACGCAATCTGTATTCCTTTCAAAAAATTATATTCCTATTGGACATTTTCGTCGCGCGTCGCCAGTTCTTAGTCGTTAACATAACCTACGTTTAGTGTAAAGTACACTGCGTGGTTCCAGTTACTTAAAAATGGAAGCAATGGATAAGATATCGCAATTAGTAAAAAAAGATTTTAAAATGCCATGGCCAGCATATGCGAAAGTATTCGAAGTATTATTCATTATTCAATATATTTATAATAAAGTAACGTTGTAACGTATAACATTTTATATTCATAATAATTCAATAATAATATTCATAATAAGTATAATTAACTAAGGTATAATTTAAATTAATTTGAAATTTACACAATTACGAAATTTAAAATAATAGCACATTTATTATAGGAAAGTAATTGAAAAGTAACGATTCGTTACTTTTTAAGTAACTGTAACTGTAAATGTTACTTTTAAAAGTCAGTAATTTGTAATTGTAACTAGTTACTTTTTCAGTGAAAAAAACTGTAACCGTAACCAGTGAAGAAAACTGTAACCGTAACCAGTTACTTTTACGAAGTAACTTTCCCAACTCTGCCGGAAAGTCATTTCGTATCTAGCAACTTTACCTAAATCATAGAACGCAGGTACAGTCCTGAACAAAAAAGTTGTCCGTAATCTTTTGTATGAATTTTAGTACACATCTGTATTATTCAATGGAAGAATTTCTTCACTAAAAATAAAATTCTACAAACAATTCGACAAACAGGGCAAACTCAGATAAGATGGCATACAAAAAAGACAGCCATAGACTGTAATTTCTGCAATAACTACTATAAGTAATGTGTTTTTTGTAGTTTCAGGGAGAATTCACACTTTGGAAAAAAAAACGGAAAGCAGAAAGGCAGTATCCAGTCAGAAGTCGTGCTAATAATTTGTCTCTCTTCTCTCTCTCTTTCTCCCTCTCTCTTTCTTTCTCAAACTTTCCCGGATTTATGAGCTCGTCCAAGAAACTTCGCAGACTTTCCTAATTGCAATCAATTCGTCAAAAATTAATTTGAAAAAATGGAGAACCGAAGAGTCCACTTTCGCCACATAATGCTGTATTGTTTCAAGCGTAGTTTCACGACTTCGCAGACCCTGAATAAGATGTTTTCTGTATATGGAAATGCCTCCGTCACTCATTAAACAGTTCGGAAATAGTATCGAAGATTCGACTGGCGATTTCAATGTGGAATATCAAATTCGTCCTGGGTAGTCTCAGGAAGTTGACGAAATGCTTTTTGAGGACTTGATGTGCGAAAATCCACAAATAACCGTTAGAAAATTCGCTGATATTCTCCATAAATCCATCTTTACCGTGCATGACTACCTGAAGCAGCTGGGGTTCTTAACTTGACTGGCTGTTTGGGTGCTAACGAAATGAGTGTACAGCAGTTGGTGTGGAACGTGTAAACATCTGCGATATACTGCTGCAACGGCACTAAAAAAAATCATTTTTGAAGAGGATTATAACAGACGATGAATAATGTAACTAGCCGCAAAAAATCGTAGAGAACCAGCGACGCGTTTATGCAAACAATGGCCAACCTGAGGCTTCACAAAAAGGTTCTTCTGAGCATTTGGTAGGATTTTAAGTAATATGAGCTTCTTCAGCCAAACGAAACCATCAACGTGGCGAAATATAGCCTGGACGAACTGAAGGCTGCCATCGTACGAAAGCGCTCTCGACTGGTCAACAGACGTGGAGTTGTCTTTCACCATGATAACGCCAGACTTCATATCGCAATGTCTATCTATAGGAAGTTTAAATTTCAAACTGTATGATGCCTTTGCTCTAAAATGAAAGTTTCTTACTGACGAAAAATTAATCTAGGTGACTTTTGAGAATTTCCAAAAATTCGAATTTCTTGTAAATCTGACGAAATTACAATAGTAACTAGTAAACGATTTGAAAAACTTTTATATCTACTTAATTTATTAGGGATGTACTTAATTTATTAGGGGTATACAAAAGTTTCTATCGTTCATGTATGGATTGTGTATTATTTACACATGAAAGCTGCATTTTGTTAGATTATGTCAATATTAGTTAACCTGCATAGAAACTGATGTATAATAAATCATATATATTTGACATAAATATTTTTAATTCATATGAAGATGGAAATCGATAAGACATATTTTCGTCATTGTACGTTTTTTTTATTTTAACAGCGCAAAACAGCTGTCAAAACAACCAGAATCATTTGCGAAATTATGTTGAAGGGACAATAGCTGAAAGTTCATATCGTAAGTAGTTTCGGCGCTTTAAAAGTAGCGATTTTGACTTGAGAGATCAGGAGCGTATCTCTTGCAACCACAGGAGATGAATTTGAATGACTTGGAAGCATTATTGCAGGAAAATTCAACTCAATCGAGTATAGAACTTGTGAAAAAGTTACATATTAATCAGAACACTATACTATAGTTATACAGAACACTATACTATACTATAGTAATTTGACGCTTGCATGAGATAGGAAAAATTCTGAAGGAAGGAAGGAAAAAGATTCTCCATGAATTATCTGAGAATGCTGTTACCAGTCGAGTCACCATTTGCCTTTCGCTGCTCAATAAACACAGACACAAGTCTTTTTTGCATCGAATTGTGGCTGGAAACGAAAAATGGATTTATTATGACAATCCCAACGGTATAAGATCGTGGGTAAATCCTGGAGAACCCTCTACGTCATAGCCAAAACGAAATATCCATATGGTCATAAGGTCCTCCTGCGTATGTAGTGGGACATGTAAAGAGTGCTCTATTATGAATAGTTAAAATCATCTAAAACTATCACAGTGGAATTATACAGTCGACAATTGAGGCAGTTGAATGATCAATTGATTAAGAAATAGCGATATTTTGCGAAAAAACAAAACAAAGTGATTCTTCTGCATGACAAGTCTCATGTTACATTGACGATTCGGAAAACTTTAATAGAATTGCAATGGAAAGTCTTACCATACTCGGCATGTTCTTCAGATATTGCCCTATTGGATTTTCGCTTATTTCGTTCTATACAGCACAGTCTTTCTGGTACAAGAATTCGTAATGTTGTGGAAATGCAACAATTCATTGATAACTTCATTCATTCTAAGAGCAAAGATTTCTTTTATCGTGATATCTTTTTCCTGAAAAATGGCAAAAAGTGATAGATAATGCTGAAAAATATTTTGATTAAAGATACTGTGTCATTTATAATAATATTAGTAAAAAAACATTACCTTAAAAATGATGGAAACTTTTGCATACTCTTAATATGTAGGAAACAGTTAGTCTTCTGTTTGGAACAAAATACTTTTTTTTACCCTATGATCTTATGTAATTTATGATAGAAAACTTATAAAATTGATCAATTTTCTGTGTAACTTAAAACATAAAGTACAATAGAAATGATAAGTTAAGATTAGTTTATATGAGATTTCTATAGATTTTGAAAATATTTATATCGTTTTTTATCAGAATTTCCCATAAGGATAACAATATTATAAAATTTATATTATGGCCTTTTTACTCGAATTTACTTTATATTCCGAAATTCACACGAGAAGTTACGAACAACTTTTCCATCCATTAGGCTGATTAAAACCAAGCGTATAGTTGCTAAAATTTTATATGTGATGATAATGCTTGACAGTATAAATATGTTACATTTATACGACACATGCGTTAAGAAAAGTACACAATTCAGGCCAAGTGACGGAATTGGTACAAGCTTAAACTGAAAACTCCAATTCGAGAGTAAACGATCGAACTATGAAAATCTCTAGTCAGCGTACAATAATCGATATACACTGTTTGCAGGTTATGGAGGTGTATTCCGATGGTAGATTACTCGGCAGCATTACCCAAGAGTGGAGTCTCCTGCGGCCAACGTTCTCCATCCGCGACTCGTCTGGCAATCCCGTACTAATAATAAAAGGGCCGATCATTCGTTTCTGCATTGAAGTAGTTTTCAAGGTATCTTGCAACACCTCGGAAACCTATAGAATTTCATTTTTTATTTATTTCCTTCTTCCTTATAATCGTAACTTTCTAGCTCCATGCTCCATGCTAAGATATATCCTATGTTGTCGCTTAAATCTTACTTAACTAAGGATATCATTCAAATCATTCTAACTGTATAATAACGTCATTATGAGGCTCCTGGTTTTCAGCCGTAGTCTTTTTAATTGAGTAGTTCTCTTGACTAACATACCAAGTAGAAATAAAAAGATGCATTCAAAATTCTTACAAAATATTGAAATATTGAAATAAAAGGTATACTCATAAAATAACATTTGCGATCGATCGAGTAAATTTATAAAATAGCTTAAATACTTTCTTTTTGCTGTGATAATAAATAATCATAAAATTAATATAATGTGCATCCTACTTTTTTAATTCATTTTTTCTCATTATTCTGTCACGTTAATTTTACGTTATTTCGGTTATTTCTTAACTGTTAGAATAAAACAAGACTTTGGACTATTTTACAGATATGTTTGATTTATTGAAAATATTACTTTATGGACATACCTTTTTATTTCAATATATTTCATCAGTATTTTTAAACGTATATCTTCTGATTATAAAAGATTCATACCAGGCAAGGCATCCGACATATGATGTCCGATATTCAATGAGAAAACAGCTTTCCGATGGAGGATATAGGATTTTGCATCGGAAAGCTGTCTTTGTAATATTGCACTACACTATGTAATGTTTCAATGTTACTGCAACTTTCTGTGCTGTATGGGATTAGATGAGACAATGACAGTGAAAGTTTTTCTTTCAAGGTCATTTTTTCAAAGATCTAAAGGTTAAAGCAATTTTTTTAAAATGAAACTACATGATTTTATTTGCACACTTTTATAGCCAATATCGAGAGGAGTTTAGCGACCTATGACAATATGAGTTTTAAATGATCTTGAACATAGAAAATTACATATGTTGAGGGAAACACAAAAGTCAAACATTTATATCTTTTAACATAAAAATTTAACATAAAAATTTAACAAAAAGTTAAGGAGGTGTTCAAAGTGATGCCCTCCAACTTCAATATATTTTTAAATATGATTCATAAATGATGCTCTTGCTCTTTCTATCATTTCTGAATTCTGAATCATGATAAATTAGGATAAATTATTAATAACAAAGCATCACAGTTCTAATCAAGTAGAATCTGTGTATTTTATTTCAAGTCATTATAATAAATTGTTTATCGAGTTTTGCCGGATATGCTTTTGTCAAACAGATTTTACACATACGCGCACGTACGCACGCATTACGCATACTCATACACCCACATACACGCTACGCGCACACACCCACATATATATATATATATTTTTTTTTTATTTATTATACAGGGTGTCAAATTTCAAACGTAACAGGTAAAAAATCTCAAAAACTATGAAAGATATTAAAAAAGCTAAAACACGTGTTCCATGATTTCGAAGGGGAAAGAGAATGGCATTATCAGCTTTATTTGGAGGGCATTTTCAAGGTCAGTTGAAGGTCAGTTGAAGGTCAGTTGAAGGTCAACTTAATTTTTTTAAATAAAAAGCCCAATTTTTTATTATATCTTCTTTTTCTACCAATTAATTTTAACAACTTTTGTCTGAAACATTTTTTTATTTGCCTAATATTTATTGAAATATTTATAATTATAAGGAAAACTTGGTAACTTTTTCAACATTTAACTTACGATATCTCGCTAACTATTCGTCGAAAGAAAAAATAGTATTAGTCTTTTTTACTTTATTTACTATCAAGAATATATTACTATAATAGTGCCCTAACTTTTATTAACTTATCGACTTTTGGAAATTTCAAAATTATTAAATTAAAAAATTAAATTAAAAAATTAGAACACTATTATAGTAATATATTCTTGATAGTAAATAAAGTAAAAAAGTCTAATACTATTTTTTTTTCGACAAATAGTTAGCGAGATATCGTAAGTTAAATGTTGAAAAAGTTACCAAGTTTTTCCTGAATATTTAAAAAAATATTAGGCAAATAAAAAATGTTCCAGACGAAAGTTGTTAAAATTAATTGGTAGGAAAAGAATATATAATAAAAAATTGGGCTTTCTATTTAAAAAAATTAAGTTGACCTTCAACTGACCTTGAAAATGTCCACCAAATAAAAATCTGATAATGCCATTCTCTTTGCCATTCGAAATCATGGAACACGTGTTTTAGCTTTTTTTAATATTTTCATAGTTTTCGAGACATTTTACCTGTTACGTTTGAAATTTAGCACCATGTATATATTTCTTTTGTATGCACAGGGTGTCCTGAAAGTAACGGACCACCCTAATAACTCTTCAATATTGAAGTATCAAGGAAAATGATCTGAATAAAAGTTATAGGGATTTAAGTAAGCTACCTTATGATAACCTTGACTTTGACCTTGACCTCTATTTTCAAGGTAATTTGAAGGTCAACATGCGTTTTTTAATGGAAATTCTTATTTTTTATTACACTGTTTTCTCTACTAGTTAATTTGAACAACTTTTGTCTAAAACATTTTTTTATTTGTCTAATATTTTTTTAGATATTTGAGGAAAACTTGATAACTTTTTCAATATTTAACTTACGATATCTCGCTAACTATTTGTTGGAAGAAAAAATGGTACTAGACTTTCTTGCTTTATTTAGTCTCAAGAATATATTATTACAATAGCGCCCTGATTTTTGTTAATTTGATGATTTTGAAATTTCCAAAAGTCAGTATGTTAACAAAAGTCAAGGCGCTATTGTAACAATATATTCTTGAGATTAAATAAAGCAAGAAAGTCTAGTACCACTTTCTTCCGACAAATAGTTAGTGAGATATCATAAGTTAAATATTGAAAAAGTTACCAATTTTTCTTCAAATATCTCAAAAATATTAGGTGTAGTAAAAAGAAATCCATTATTTTTCCAATAGATGGCTTTAGTTATCTGTATCTCGCGTTGTATAAGTCCGATCGGGTTCCACTAGATGGCGTTAGAAAGATGAGATTTCGTACTAAAAAAACTTTTCTGACAGTTTTGTGATTAGTTGACTCAGTTTTGTTTGAGCGCGCGTCAAAGATGGACACTAGCAAAGAGAAAATACGCTATATTTTACAGTTTTTCTTCGATAAAGGCGAAAACGCAAGCCAGGCGGCTGAAAATGTGAATAGTGTTTATGGTCCTGATACTGTAACAGCCAATCACGCGCAATTTTGGTTTCGTCGATTCCGTTCCGGTAATTTCGATGTCAAAGATGCACCACGCACTGGAAGGCCAATTGTCGAAAATATCGATAAAATCATGGACATTGTCGAGTCCGACCGTCATGTAAGCACTGTTTCGATTGCCCAAGAGCTAAAGATTGCACAAAAACCATTTGGAACCATATGAATAAGGTTGGATACAAAAAGAAGCTCGATGTATGGGTGCCACACGAGTTAACGAAAAAAAACCTCATGGACCGAATTTCCATCTGCGAATCGCTGCTGAATCGCAACAAAATCGATCCATTTCTGGAGCGGTTGGTCACTGGTGATGAAAAGTGGATCACTTACGACAACGTCAAACGAAAACGGTCGTGGTCGAATCGCGGTGAGCCGGCGGAAACGGTGGCCAAGCCAGGATTGACGGCCAGGAAGGTTTTGCTGTGTGTTTGGTGGGATTGGCAGGGAAATATCTACTATGAGCTGCTCCCCTACGGCAAAACTCTTAACTCGGAACTGTACTGTCAACAATTGGACCGTCTGAAGAAAGCAATCGCCCAGAAGCGGCCAGCTTTGGCCAATAGGAGAGGAATTGTATTCCATCAGGACAACGCCAGGCCACACACATCGATAGTGACTCGCCAGAAGCTCCGGGAGCTTGGTTGGGAGGTTCTTATGCATCCACCTTATAGTCCGGACCTGGCACCAAGTGATTACCATCTGTTCCTGTCCATGGCGAACAATTTTGCTGGTGAAAAATTCGCTTCAAGAGAGGCTTGTGAAAATCGACTGTCTCAATTTTTTGCCAATAGGGACGAGGGCTTCTATAAGAGAGGCATAATGAAATTACCTTCAAAATGGCAACAAGTATCGAACAAAACGGCGCATATTTGACCTAAATCGGATCATTCTAACTATGGTAATTAAAGCCTTCAATTTCATGCAAAAATAATGGATTTCTTTTTACTACACCTGATATTAGGCAAATGGAAAAATGTTTTAGACAAAAGTTGTTCAAATTAACTAGTAGAAAAAAACAGTGTAATAAAAAATAAGGATTCCCATTTAAAAAATGCAAGTTGACTTTCAAACTTGAAAATAGAAGTGAAGGTCATCATAAGGTAGCTTACTTAAATCCCTTACAACTTTTATTCAGATCATTTTCCTTGAAACTTCAATACTGAAGAGTTATTAGGGTTATTAGGGTTATTAGGGCCGTTACTTTTGGGACCCTGCATATTTCTTTTTAAGTTGCATTGCTTCGAAGAAGACACATTTCGATAAAGACAAATATTTTAATTTTGAATAGAGACGTCAAGATAAAATAAAAGTCAAGTTATTTTTTTAAATAAAACTCTAATTTTTCGAGCACCTACATTTGTAGCTCTAGTCACGACGAATTCAATGACCACATGTTCAAGGCGGTTAGAGGTCAAGTAATAGAACAGAGAACTTAGAAAAGAAAAAAAAGAATATTTTAATTAAGCAAAGAAGTAATAAAGTTACAAATAAACTTCGGGACACATCAGACGTTGACTTTAACTTTTTTACAGTTATTTTCTATGTTAATCCTTCAACTATCAAGGAAAATATGATGTAATGAATTCGCGAAGCGTATTAAATAATTTTAACGAACGAATTATAAAGAATGTTTAATGATTTTCAGCGATAGATGCAAGGGAACAACATTTTGCATACTTTAATAGAGTTTTATATTTTAAAGAGAAAAACGCTTCTTCCTTTAAAGATTTTTTGTTTTTATTGAAGATTT